GGAAACAGATCATTATAATATCTTAGCAAACAATCAAAGGAGTTTATTGTCAAATCCAATCTGCATTTAATGCAGGACATACACAAAACAAGTATGCCACTTCTCCAACACTCAATTCACGCTGAACTACATAGCTAGCTGGAGGATCTGGACTAACAACAGGCCTGAGGTATCATCCAATAACCGATGCCTAATATATTATTAACCAACGACCTTTCATTCAACAGAATAATCAGAGTAGGTTTACACACATCACAAACTCCTACAAACATGCCCTTAGCAAGGTGGATTACACCAATATTACATGCTTTTGGCTTACATCTCATTCAGAGAAACTATAACCTATACTAATTCAGTTATTCACTTAACATTTTGCTAGCATATCAGAATACCTCAGATTTTCAGACTATTTTTTAATGACCTTCTTCCTAAAACAAGCATTTTATGCCTGGGTATTATTTTAAGGAGGGAGAAGAAAAAGGCAGACTGTCCCCCTGCAAATTTCAGCCTGAAAAAATTAACCAAAAAACCCTACCACCGTTTGTCTCCACCAACTTTCGCCAGCTAGTGCAGAGCAAGGGGAAACAGCTAATGGGAGTCTGAAGCTGCTGCTTTAGGTACCAGTGCTCAGGAAATGCTCCCTGCTTTCCATTTCTGGGTGAGGATCAGCTAGCTGTTTATTTGATTTGCTCAGCTAACAGGAGGCAGCTGCAGACACTGCACTGAAGTCTCCCACAAATAGCTGTTGCTGTGCTCCTTGTTGGGCAGGCAGGAGACGACAGTTAGGATTCCTGTTAAGAGGTGAACTCTCCCCTAGCCGTCTAGCTTCCAGCTTGGAGAGGCTGAGGTCAGCAGAATGAGAAGGATGTTAGCCTGCTGAAGAGGAGTCCAAACTACTGGCTTTCTGCCTGCCCAACAGCTTCTGCTTTTCCTCCTCTGTGCCTGAGGGACAGATAAGGGGATGGAAGAACACAGGTGGAGAAAGGACAGAGGAACCTTGGGGAAAAGTGGGGGCTGAGAAATAACAGGGACAGATGGGAACCCCAACCAGCGTTGCCAACTCTCTGTCTTGCAGTATTTGTTTTCCTTAGTGAACCAACTGATGGAATCAGGAGTCTACATGAGGATCTCAGCTTCCATTTTAAAAAAAATAAGATTCTTGCCTTCCTGGTTGCAAATTACAGCTTGAAAATGTAAAGCAAAGCACCCTAAGGCTCAACAACCAGAAGGCAAATAAAAATACCGCAAAATGTATTACTTAATAAACCTCTTGATTTGAACCCTGATTCATGATGTTTGAACATTTGGGGTTGGCATTACTAGAACTCTGGGAACAATAGCCTACAGAGTCAGTGAATACTGACCTCCATCATATGACAGGAACATCTTGTACCCCATCCCATGTGATTGATGCCAGGAAATAAAGAGCATGTCTATGTGCCACCCTTATTACAGACAGGAAACTTGGGGAGAAGAGACCCTTTAAGACCAAGGAGTAAATCTGGATAAGAAAGTTTGGGAGAACAATACATCTTGAAGAAATGAGGGATAGGGTGGGACAGAGAGCTGAAGTTTCCTGGCTCTAGGCGATCACTCTGTCTTCTGACCCATCTCAGCAGAACTGTGCTTTTGTGGAGAGTGAAGGGACAAGGGAGGTGAAAGGTACAGGGGAAACTGAGGAGGAGCTAGGCACTTTGGAGAAGAAGGAAGAGAGTGGAAATTAGGAGCAGGAGGCTGTGTTTGAGGAAGCAGGCAGGGAGAATTAGGGGTCTGGAGAAGTCTGGAAATTTGGAAGGAAAAAGCGAGTAAGGAATTTTGAGACAGAGAGGGGTTGGTATCTGGGAAGATAGGACTAGGAAAAGAGAACATGGCAGTTCTGAGTGGGGGGAAAGGAGAGATGAGGAAGGAAGAGGATTCTGGTGAAGAAGAGGAGACATGGAGAGTGTAGGAATTTGATGAAAAGAGGACAGGTTAAAAGGCTCTGGGGAAAGGTAAAAGTATCAGGTGAGGGAATTACAGACTCAGCAATGACCAGTGAGAGTGCTCATTACAAAGATCTTCCAGGTACTAAAAGCACTGCTCTCAATCCTTTTTCAGTGGAAACAATATATTTCCAAAGCCTCCTGAGGAGCCAAAAGACAGGACTTTCTGACTTCAGTGGCAGAAAAATTGTGAGACTACCTGTGACTCTGGGACTTTGCCCTCCTACCAAATGGAGAATGGGTTTGCGGGTTTGCAGAAGAATTAAAATTTATTTTGCAGCTTAACCTTTAGGGCTCTCTTTTTGTTGTTACCATCCTCACAGGTGCAACACGTCAGTTTGGCTATTTTTTAATTGATCTTATTCAATATTAAGCATTCAAAATGATCATCCCAACAAAACACAGTCTCCTACTTTCTAATATGCTGTAGTTGAGGAATTACTGCAAAAATGCTGGACAATGTTCTTGTATCAGTTCATACATGGATTACTAGACTAGAATCAACAGCAAGTTCTGCATAAAATATATAGCAGTATATGGGACACTGCCAGGGGTAGAACATTTTTTCATTAGACATATAGGATAATCCAAGCTAATAATTATCCATTAAAAAGGCAAGTCCTGTATTTACTTCAGCATTCAGACTCACTTATAATAGAAGTCAGTGGCAAAACTAAGGCCCTTAATTTGCACTTCCTTTATGACGGAAGTGAAAGACCATCGTTATTGTATTCAGGATGGTTTGCCAACTCTCAGAATTTTATCATGAATCTCATAATATTTGGGTTATTTCTTAAAGACCCAACTCGTGCATTTACATAGTTTTGTGAAAATCTCAGCTTTCATTAAAATATTCTAGCCCTTATGGTTGTGGAGAAGTGTTACAAATTGTTACCCCTGCAGAGTCAAAACCCAGAAGGCAAATAAAAAGATCCCAACATAACTCTTCTTTAAATCTCATAATTTTAAACCAATCTAATGGTATTTTTTTGAATGTCTGAATTGTTAATTTTTGAATGTGTGATGTTGGCAATGCTATATATCAAACAAAGCAATCAAGGACTCTTCGCCTTAGACAAATTTCTGAGTTGTCTCCAGTGTGAAAATGGTTTTAAGAGACAGGTAGGCAAAATAAGCAAGTGACCTTCAACAGAAAAATTATTTTTAAAAGGTTTGTATGAGAGGCAGATTTCAATTATTTGGTCAGAGAGAGGCTATTAATTTTTCTTTTATGCCTGATCATTCTCTTTGGGCTTAGCACACCTGGAACTATGTATTGAATATTTAGCATTTATTCCTTAATATTCAGCAATAGAGTACTTAGTTTTACTAAGCCTCAAGCAAAAAAAATAAATCCTTTGTTGTCCCCATTGTACCTGAGTTTCTTTGTGCTTCCAGCAGGTTGCAAGGAGCCCAGCAATTTACAGACTGAGAAAAAGTGGCTTAGACACAATAATTAAATATAATAATCAAAAGAACAGTGAATTATACAGAAACAGATAATGGCATAAATACCCAGAAGCCCTGTTAAAAAAAGCTGATATAAAAATATACCTTTCATTAATATTCATTTATCCACTCAGCTTTGACAGTAGTTTGGCAAATCACACACATAGTTTTGGGAAAGAAATAACAGCTTTGTAATAGAAGAATTTCACATCCAAAAAATGAGTAATATGCAGCTCAGTGCTGAAGAGTCATTTATCTTTTAAGGTGGATGATAAGGTTGTTTTCGGGTTTTTGCCATTTATAATATTGTATCATATGACAAGTGTGCAGCATAAATACATAGGGCTTATTCAGACTTCCTTTACACCAGATTTACACCACTGTAACTTCATAGACTTTAATGGAGCTAGTCCAGATTTACATCAACATCCAACCAAAAGCAAGCCATAAGCAAGTATTCTCATTATCTGTGGCAAAAGCTGGGGGGGGGCGGTATGTGTGTGTTCTGAACTAATTCTTTATTAATAAATGTATGATCCAATCCTACTAACTCTTGCTCATGTGAGTAGCCTCATCAAAGGACTATACACAGGCATAACAGTTTGCAGGATCAGGCCTCTGAAGTTTTCTAATTACTAAAGCTAAAAAAGTTTCCCTGAAATATACCCCAAGCTGTTCTGATAACTAAAATATGATAATGCATTGATTGTCCAACTTTTTTCTGTATGTTATTTAATTGACACGCCCTAGAATGTAGCCAAATTATCCTTGCAAAACTTCACTGAGCAGAACTTGTCTGCTTTTTGAAGGGGACTACTAAGAACAGTGATATGAGTGTGTGGAGGAGAACCACTAAAAAGGAGGTTAGTAAGAGGAAAAAATGTTTACTATGCTTTAGTAGAATATGAAATTCTACTGTATGATTACAGGAAAAAGGCCACTACTTTCTGTATGATCTAGTTTCTATGATCTGCAAAACCAGTTCATCAGCTTGCTCACTGGAAATCAGTCATCTTTCTAATGCGGGGATGATTTATCGAGGAAACAGGTGGAAAGGGGAAAATTATTTAATTTATCAATAATGGGTTTGGAAAAAGATTAATTATTTGTTCTTTCTGGAGACAAAAGAATATTTTTATACCTTTCTCGGAATGCTATTCTCATGTTTGTGAAATTGCAGGCCTTAGTTTTTCACCAAAAAGAGGTATTAGTCAAATGCAAAAATGTATGTGCAGTTACTATGAATAAGATGTTTACAAGAGCAAATGGTATCTAAATTTATTTTGGGGAAGTTCTATGGCCTGAGTTATACAGGGGGCCGGACTAGCTGATCACAATGATCCCTTCTGGCCTTGGAATCAAGGAATCTAAACAAACTGTTTTACAGATCTATGAAATTTAGGAATTATTGCGGGGGGGGGGGGGGGAGGAATACTGATTATCCTCTTGCTTTACACAAAAATGAATTCTATAATAAAAGCTACAGCTCATTTCTTGTTTTAATATTAACTGGTATTAACTGAGTTCAAACTAAAAGACTGCATATTGGCAAGCATGCAAAGTCCATACCTTCATCTCTATAACTGTCTGAAGAGCTTTTGTCTTTGCTGGTTCAGGCTGAAGTTGGGTTCTTCTGTGTAGTTCCTGTGGAGGGACACGATAAAAATAAGCTTGACGACTCATCTTTCCATTATTTTGTGTCTCATATAAATGTAGCACAGTCCACAGCAAATTAGAAGTCTGATGTTCAGGACTGCACAAGTCCAAATGCTACAGGTGCATCTTTTTTATGATCCCTCTAGCATCACTGCAGTCTCTATCTTATATTACAGTCATCGCTGTCGGCACATGCGCTATTTCTGAAACCTCTATCAATAATTAACGTCAACTGTGACAAAGCCAGCAAGTAATTTCTTAGTCCAAATACAACACTGCTGCTTCTGCCCAGACATCGAATCATAATTCATTCAATTATAGTACACTGTGTTGCTAATTCAAAAACTAAGAAAAATAAATGCCGTTTAAAATCTTTTACTGAAGTTCTCTGCTTAGAGTTTTTCTACCAATATTTGAAGCAAGCAATTTAAAACCATTAAATTCAAATTTGACATTTTAAGAATAGTAATTATATAATGGGTTGATGCAGCACCATCTACAGTAGCTTTTGCATTTCAGTTTTCATGTATTCACAGTATGATATTTTTCACAGTTTAATCTACAGGTAATAAAAATATAAGGGTTACAATTGCTACACAAAGATGTACAATTAACAAAAGCAAACATCAGCCACTCTTCAAAGCTGAAGATTGGGGGTAGATATTGACAACATTGAGAACTGTGTACAAACCATTAATTGAAAAATATTTTAATATCTATTCACAGTCGTGCTTCTGATGCTGATGTGAATGTTTTTCACATACTGTAGGTGACTGTAAAGTCCATGATTTTCCATATGTGGTTATCTTATAGTCTCTGTCCATGTCTCCTTCACATGCATGTGCACAATTAGAACAAAATGGGTTTCAGATGAGGTACTCTAGGGTTCTCATAGGATCTGCTGGAATTCAGAATCATCTGTGTAAAGGCTATTGTTTTCTGGCCCTCTCAGCCCCACTGACCTACATGAAAGTACAATGCCATAGGACATTGCCACCAAACCTTCCTTCAACGAGTTTCAGAGCTGTGAAGGGGGCGGTGACTAAAATAATGCTGATGGGTTCAGAATGAGCTTACTTGATGATTCCCTGCAGGATTAGTGGGAACTATACTATGGACAGGCTCTATGTCCTGCAAGTCCTAACTTGTCCATTCCAACCTTATTCCCATCTATAAAGCTCAATTCCTGCAGAGACACATCTTCAAGGATGGAGGGCAAATGATTCTGTGGATGTGTCATCTTCCCTCCTGCCCTCTTCCTTCATCCATATCAAGCAATTTATCATCCCTGTCTTGTTGGATCTCCATTCTTTCTGGTGAGACTTCAAGGGGCCATATTTTGGATTTTAATTACATAATCCTGTATTCATGTTTCTTTTTTATAAGCCCAAATAAAGGTGCCTAAGAGACCCTCAAACTATATCTCTAAGCAATTGCTTTTGATGTTGTAAACTAGTCCCTTTCAAACCAAACACTAGAAACAGAGGGAACACGTTCCTTAGAGTGTCTTAAGAATAGCCTACTCCTTGGAGAGCTAATGAAGTACATTTTCAAGGGGGGGAAAGCTTCTCTGTAACTGTCAATGGGAGTTCAAATGACTTGGAGACTGTTTCATAACCTGGACAGTACAAAATCAACATCCAAATCTTTCATAAAATTTGGCGCCAAATGCTGCTCTCAGTTATATCACTGCATCTCCATTTCGTGCTGTCTTCCATATTGCTCCTTATGAATGGGCAAAGCTTCCTCTCAAAACCCATAAAGCCATCTCATCATCATTCAGTTTCCTCCTCAAAACTCATCTCTTTCCATAATGCATACAGTAAAGAACAACCTGATAAGGGCTAAGCAGGTGGAGAGCTGTGATTATTACTACTAACCAGATAAGTATTGGGCACATCCCATTGTCTCAGACAAACAGAAAAAAAGAAATGATGCAACAGATGTGTTTTAATTAGACCACAACTTTATTCACTTAACTTATCTGGCAGTAAATCATACAGTGCAGGTCATCACTCTTTTCTTAATCTTTTTTACCTATTTAGGATGGCTGCCAACAGTAATCCCTCTTCCCAATCTAGTCCCACATCACTGCTTGACCCCACTGCCCTCCCCTCATATGGGGGAGGGAGGGAAGCGTCTGGAAAAAAAACAAGGTTCTCTCTCCATTGTACCAGACATTAGGAGCCCCAACACCCCCTTTTCCAGCATCCTTAGGGCTTGCCTTCCCTTAAATACACTTCCAACTCCTGTTTATCAGTGAACTATATCCTCTGTAATGAGTACCTGCATTAGACACCTGTCACATCTGCTACCTACTAAGTTGCAACATCTCAACCTCCTTACCTACCTCATCAGTTCCTGACCGGCTGTGGGAAAAATGGAAAAAAGCACCCTGTCTCAGCCAATCTGGCAAAGATGGAAAAATTCCTTCCCAGCCCACACCCCACAAAAAAAGAAAAGATAAAAAGCAACCAACGCAATTCCAATGACAGATCATTAAAAACAGTCATACTTTCACCACATGGGTGAGCTGGTGGCTGCTGCTGATTGTGACTAATGAGAGAGTTCTTCCTGAATATACAAATATCTTCCCTTTCCCCCACCTGGTCCAGCCACTTACTGTTCCCCCTTTGGCTCCACTAAGGTAAATCCCTTTCCCCTCCTTGCAACCCTAATGTAGTAGGATTCCTATCCCTTTTTTGCTACTGTTGCCCAGACAATGAATGACCAACAGCATTCAACTGCAGTGAGCAAATTATATTTATCTCATCTTCCCACTCCGGCACATTTGTTAGTCTTATTCACCCATTACACACCCTTCTCTTTTAGAGTACATCTGCACTGCAATTAAAGACCCACAGCATGGCCGCAACTGGCCCAGGTCATCTGACTTAGGGCATGTCTACATTTACCTCCGGAGCGATCAATCTAGTGAGGGTCGATTTATCGCGTCTAGTGAAGACGCGATACATCGACCGCCAAGCACTCTCCCTTCGACTCTGGTACTCCACCAGAGCAAGAAGTGCAGGCGGAGTCAACGGGGGAGCATCAGCAGTCGACATACCGCAGTGAAGACACCACGGTAAGTGGATCTAAGTACGTCAACTTCAGCTACATTATTCACGTAGCTGAAGTTGTGTAACTTAGATCGAAAACACACACACACACACCCGTGTAGACTAGGCCTTAGGCTTAAAATTGAAGTGTAGACATTTGGGCTCAGACTGGCACCTCAGACTGAGACTCCAGACTCAGTGCCACAGGGTTTTTTATTATACTGTAGACCTACCCTTACAGGTTAAACCTTTGTAATCAGGGGCTGTCATTTATTATATCTTTATGCAGAATGGAATCCAACCCGGTTGCAGTTTTTAGTTGCTACCACAATATAACTGTTAAATAAAAATAACTAATTTGGCTCATCATATTAAATCAATTACTACAGTATTTTCAGACTCTAAAAAACACACCCTGAAGAATTCAGGATTTAATATTTTAAATATCTATACAAACAACTGAAAAAAAGGAAAGCCAATTAGTTATGAGTTTTCCATGTAAGTCAGCAAAGATTCTTTAAACAACAGTAACTAAACGACTGCATACAAAGGAAGATGTCAATAATTAATACAATAAAAGCTCTTCTTACACAAAAGAAAATAATTATTTAGCAAAAAGGAACTCTTCCAGCAAAAGGTTTAAGAGAAATGCATTTTCACTCAGCTTCCTGGCTAATTGTATTTCTTAACCCTGCTATGCCTGTATGTGATGTTATAACTCTACAAGACAATAACTCAGCAATCTACACCTATATAGCATGTGAATGAACTCAATAAATCAATACAATTTTCCAAAAATCTTAATTTTCACAGTCAAAGAATCATTTTATACTTAAAGCATACAGGAAAAGTAGTATGTCATAGGACTGAATTTCATGAGATTTATCCAGAAACATTCATCTTTGACAGTCCATACATCTTTGGCTAAAGAGAAGGAAATGATAGCTGTTTCCATAGATAATACATGTAGTTCTATTCATGCTTATGATCAGTTTGTATTACATTTGGAACAGTTTAGTATTTAAGTTATAGTTAGGACATTGGTATGCTGAGAACTGCCTATCACACTGACCAATATTTTCTCATTGTTTCCTTTAAATCTCCCTCTGTCAATATCCATCTCTTGTGTCTTGTTGTATACTTTGTGACAGGGATGGTCTTTTTGTTGTTGTGTATGTACAGTGCCTAGTACAATTGTGTCCTAGTCCATGTCTAAGATTTCTAATGCTCCGGTCAATACAAACAATAAATATTAATAAAATAATTCATACTTCTTGATAATCACATAGGAGTTGGATTTACTCTGACTGGCTTGTCTTATTCCACCACTTCCCCCAACCCCCATGGCTTCCATAGAAGGAGGGCATGATAAAAGTCCAAACATACCATTCAAAAATTCTTACTTCTGGCCTGCAGAATCCCACTGACCAATGTCATACAAAGCATCATGCTGCAATACCATCCCTACCAGAAATTGCACTGGCCATAAGGGCTCTGGTAATTAAGGATAGCATGTAGTGCTGCAAACATTTGGGTGTTTTAAATTTGTTTGTTAAAAGATATACAGTATTTTGTTTTTTAGAAGTTTAAAACTACCAATTTTTGGCCCACTATGGTGCATTACACCAGTGAATTTCTAGTACCTGCCCTAAAAATATTTTTTTAAAAGGTGCATTTAGAATAAAGCAATTAGTGAATGCCCCTTTACCCTTTCTGTTCTGAGCATTTAGCACACAACTAATTTTTCAAAAGAAAGAAAATAAACGTTTACAAGTCACCTTCAATGATGAAATCTCTCAATCACTAACTGACTGTCTCAGCAGACAGTTGAAAACATAAAAATTAATTAAATGTCAACCTCACAATGGATTTAAACACTAAGTGAATGTCCTAGATTTGTAATTTTCTTCTTCCATGGAAATTGTGGAA